TCCCCTCCACCCCCACCACCTCCGGCGAACAATGAACCTGCTAACGATACATTCAACTCGAAACCTGGAATGAAGGAAATGCTGGAACTGAAGTTGATCAACGAAATTCGCCAGAATGCAGACTCGAAAAACGTAGGATCATCGAAGAAATCTAATGTACCGAATAATGTTTCATCCCTTTCTCTGGACCCTGCGTCGCAACTGTTGTCAGAGCTGTGTGCCAGTTTCAGTATGGAACACGGTATCAAGCCAGTTATTCAGAACGAGTACGCAATGTCGAATGTAAAGGGCACGGAGCCTGTCCCCGATCATCACCCAGAGAAGCCCACAATCGTCAAAGAACTCCCTTCCCCGATGACTGAGAATGTTGTGAACCCTGGGAATGTCGGTTTTAAACTGAAAAAAGTTGACAAACGGAGTAATCCCAGGGAGGAGAACACAGATAGCCAGATAATAGACTTCAAAGCGAGACTGAGGAAGGTTGATAACACTGAGAAATCCCAGCAGGACGAGAAGAACAGGAGGTCGGAGGATCCCAGCACTGACGCCTCAGAGCCTGATGATGGGGACGACAAGCGCAGGAGTACAGGGAGCATAAGCAGTTTGAAGAGACTCTGGGAGAATAAGGAGGCCTCCTCCGACAATCAGCCACTGAGTCCTAAACTGGGGGTGAGGGGAATCAACAAACAGGACATGTTGGATCCTGGGGAGGAGAGCCCGGAGGACCACAGTGGGGCTTCGACGAGGAGTTCGGCGACCAGTAAGAGCGATGGACGCAGCTGGCATCCTGCTAGCACTTCTGGAGACTCGGAGAAGCCAGTGGTGCCTGCCAAACCGTCGAAGGGCATTGGCTCCTCTGGTAAATACTTTGGGTCTTCGATTTATGCAACTCCTAACTGCGACAAATCATCGCATGACGAGGATCCGGGGAAGGAGGGAAAAGCCGCGAAACACGAGGTCCTGGAGCTGGCGAATGCCATTGAGACGAGCATCACTAATTTGAAGGGCACACCTGGCATTGTCATGGCCAGTTGGCTGCAGTTGTCGGACAAAGTTGGACTTCTTCATGGGCTTCTTCAAGGTATCACCTCGGTCGAGAGTGGAACTGTCCCACCTCATGCCAGATTTCAGTTTCGGGATTTAATGTCACGTCTGGAGCTGCAGGCGAGACAACTGAGGGCCGCTGGCACGAGAAATATCACAGAGAATACAAGACTACTTAGTGACGTACAGAATACGATTAAAGACGTGACGAATATGGTACAGAGATAAATGCAATTTCTAATCAAAATTTTTGGATTCAGGCAAGTGGCTTTGTTTTATTTTTTCATTTCGTTGGGTTTGTCGTTTTTCTGATGATGATGATGGGAATAAATCGTGGCTCCTCGAATGGGAGGATTTTTCTCAATTCTTGTGGGACGGTGTCTTTGAATGAAGATATAGTATATATATAAATATATAAATAAACCATATATCTAAGTCATTAGTGATGAAAACAAAAAAACAAGCGACCGAAGGAACAGTATTTCTCTTTCGAGCGAAGCCAGAAGTTTTTAATGAGTAATTAAGGAGAAACAGATAGTTTTTAGAAATGCTAATCGGTGAATCGATGCTATATAGCCTGATACTATACTTACGAAATGGTATGATATTTACAATTTATATTTGCAGAAAACAAACTAAAATTACCTTTTTGAGGGTTTTTTCTATGTCTACTCAGTACAGAAGGAAAAAAAAATATTGTAGTCTTGGATTCGAGTTTTGTGATCAAAAAGTTAATATAAAAAAATCAAAGTCGTGGGGATATTTTTTCATTCTTTCGTTATTTTTGTCGACTTTGTCACTGGCGTCTGAAACCGAAACGAAAACATTATGCTAAAGAAAACTACAAAAAACTATTTCTTAATCCTATTGTCGCATCACTCATTTTTAGACGTGTAATTTTATAAAACGTCACGAGGATAAACGCTTAGTATATCGTAATAGCGTTTAGCGCATTTTAATTATAAATATGAAATTAAGTGAACAAAAAAAAATTTGAAAAAATAAAACGAGACAGTTTTGTTGTGTATCGAGGGACAATATAAACGATTTTGTATTTGTAAAAAAAACTGAAAAAAAATTTAGAGTCGAAGACGACTGATATAATTAATTGTGCGCCTACATTGAAGTAATCATTGTGGTGATGACAAATTTGCCAATCCCTTTGGGCTGAAGATGAGAATAATGTAATTATAATCAAAGTCCTTGAGTGTCGTGCGCTTCGTTTATACACTGTGGGAATGCAGTCAAAAATATTGTTCTTCCAGAGCGTAAGCCCGAAAAAATATCCAATCACTTTTCACCAAATATTTCTTTGGGATTACGCTTTAATAACAAAAACAAAATGAGTAGACGTACATTTGTAGCAACGGGTGAATGGATTGCATTTCTCTATTCGACACTGCCTATACTCCCCCCTCCATATAACAAACATCTCTTCATCAAATTAATATCGCAATTTGCATGAAAGAGCGGCCATTCTTCGAGCCCACCCCCCTTCCCCCATCAATTTTAATAGTTTTCCTGTTATCCTGTGATAATTGTGGAAAAAAATGTACGACACTATTGCTATTGATTTCTTAACGTCTTTTAGTTTATCACCTCTGAACGATTGTGCTCAATCTACTCCAAAAGGTCTTTTTTAGTCACTGAAGAACGACAACTTTAAATCCTGGAATAAATGGTGAATCATAGATACGAATTATCATGTTTTATATAATAATGTGTATTATAGTAATTTTAATATTATTTATACGCGTATTTATTTTATAACTTTCAACTGTCATTGATATTTTAATTTTTTCTCTTCACAAAAATAAGACAAAAATACGTATACACGAAAAATAAAAAAAAATAAGAATGTGGAAATTAATTGACCAACGTACTGATTCGCTCATACAAAATTTATTGCTTTATACATTGATATAGGATTGAGAATAAAAAGTATATGTCAAAAGAGATGTCTTCGTCAATTTGTGTCAAACAGTCTGTCGGCTTTCACTTTCTTCCAGATTAATTCATTATTCTAATTTGGATTTTTGGAGTTTATCCGGTGCTTTCTGTTGCCTCTTGCATTCTGAAACAGTCGCTGACTATTTTCCACTTGTCTCCAACAGCTGTTATGAGGAAGTTCTGGGTGAATGGTCTTGGTGTTTTCTCCTGATACTTGACTTGGCCACTGACTTTAACTAGAAATGTGAGCTGATCCGAGACTGCTGGACCTGTACAGCAATTTTATATTAAATAATCTATTCAGTTTCGGTGAATGCACACTGAGAAAAAAAAATATTTTGCCAAATATCCATTTTCTTGAGAGAAGTATTAATTTTTTCAATGCCGTAACATTACTGTCGAGCCATTCCCAGGCAATTCTCATTTGGTTTCCATTATGACAATTATATTGCTCTAGAAGATGATCATGTTAGTTATAACCTTGAGCGAACTCCCTCAATAATTCAGTAGTGAAGTGGCGAAACGGTTTAAGTCAATTTAGTCTTTAGTTGAGTTTTCCAGAAATATTTTCGAATTCAAGGGAGATAGCGACATTTTCATAATAACCTTTTTTGTAGAGCGAATTGAGTGCTACTAGAAAGGTTATGAGAAAAATTTTGCTATCTTCCATAGATTTCGAGATATTCATTGAAAACTGGCCAATAGTCAAAATCGTCTTTGACCACTTCGCTACTGAATTAAAAACATTTAAAAAATAATCGCAATTCTTCCCTGTAGAAAATCAGAAATTCAGGAAAAATGAATAATCATCAGAGAAGTTTATCCAAGGTCATGTTCAACACAGTCATCCTCTAGAGCAACATGATTGTTATAATTGAAACCTAATCAGGATTGCCTGGGAGTGAGGCGATTGGAGAAATACGATTTCGAAAAAATGAATGCTTCTCTCAAGTAAATGAATATTTGGCAAAAATACATTTTTTCATGACGCTGAAACTAGCGAAAGATTCGACAGCAGGAAATTTGTCGTAGGCGAATCTAGGGGTGTACAAATGTTTTTAAGTAATGTACAAACTCTTTCGCACTTGAAAAACATTTGTACATATGATTATTTGACTCTCCTACACTTAGATATCCCCTAAATTGAATTTTCCGCTGACGAATATTCTGCTAGTTTCAGCTTTATTTTGTTTCTCAGTGCACGAGTGAATGAGGCAATCACCAGTGATGGGTTGAGCATCCAGGGTCGTGATGGTGTGGTCTGTTGCAGGTAAATCGAGCCAGAACTTTTGAATCGCATCCTTTCCCTCTTTTCCATTCCCATTCCAAATTAAGCTCGCTGTGTCCAGGTACAGTCTCGATATCATCTATCAATCAATGAATCGAAATCAAGACATCGAACAAGAACAAGAGGTGAGTAATATTGTCAGTAAAATTATTCCAATCAATTGAAACAACAAAACTTACGAATCGTCTCTTATCCAGACTCTCATAGTACAATTTTGTGAATTCCTCCGCAACTCTGCAGGCCTGATCGATCTTCGGTTTCAAATCCTGTTTGTAACAAAATAATAAGAAACGAATGAAATACCAATTATTGTCATGCTAGGTTATGACCATAACAGTAGTAAATAGTGGCCTATCTACCTGCTCCATTTTATCCCCTCAAATAAATCAACTTCTAAAATTAATGTAGATAACTCAGAAGGTAATGAGTACTTTATAAAACCGAGCGATGCGGTTTTACTGTCAAAACACGAGGAGCACACGAGACACGAGCCCAACATTCACGAATGACAGTTTCTCCGAGTTCTCTGAAAAAACCTCCAATGTAGACCCTCCTCTGATTGGCTGGCAATTACCCGCCATTGAGAACCGGTTTTCGGAGTTTTCTCATTTTCCAGAATCTCCAATCATAAATCAAAATCATCTTTCGCTTGCCATGCGAAAGCCCACAAAACCGAGCAAAAAATTTCTCAAATCAAATTAACTTACTCCCTCAAAAATTCACCCAAAATAATAAACAATCGAGAGGAAACTCCCATGAGGGGGCGTTCTGACGTTTTCTACCTGTAACCCCTCTCCCCCCCGTTTAGAAAAATTTCAGTGATCCATAATTTCCTTCCCGAAGATGCAACTTACGCGGGAGAGGAGGGAGACACCTAGCAAAAATGAAGAAAAAAAAGTCGCTTCCTCTCACATTTAAGTGTCACGTGACAGACGAAAGATTTTTCTTTCTTATTGTTTCCAGGCATGATGGCGCCAAACGGCACCTCTCCACCGACATTTATGTAAAATACATATACATTATTATCGATTCGTTGCGTAGGAAGATCGGTGCGCGTGGTCAATGGCACCATTTGACCGGCGGTCAAACGTCAAAGAATCCCATCATCTCAATGATGCCAACGGAAAAAGGCCCTTGAAAAATCGCCAAAAAATAATCTGCACCTCCGTTACCAAAAAAAAGACATGTTTCAGCCCGAATGCAAACCCACCGATGAATTCGAGTGAGTATGAACGGGATATACATTGACTGGAATCGCTAATGAGGACATGGTTAGGCTCCTGCACTTATCCTGCGAGTTTCCTCGATATGATTTTATTACGAGAGAAAAAAAAATGGGAGAAAACTGATGAAACAGTGGGACGAGAATATGCCAGGGAAAAAAAATCCCACCGAATGCCTGAAACCCCCAGCCCCCGACGACTCGCGCGTTCAAAAATATATTGAGGCGGGAAATGAAAATAATATCGAGTTAATAGATCAATAATAAGGTATTTAATGGGCGAAATGGTTGAAGGAGTGCTACGATTTTAGTCAGTGTAGTATACTGCGTGTGTGGTACTGCGCGATATTTAGTACAGTGTGCTGCCATCTGTATTGTCAATGTTGTTGGGGCAGCAGCAGCAGCAGCAGGAGCACAGGCAGCGTAATGGAGCCGTGAGGCATTTTGTTCGTGCTTAGAACGACACATCTCCATCGTTTTATTCGTTATTATAATCGCGTAAACGATGCTTATTTATGTTAACAAATTAAATCATCGTTAAACGTGATTGTGATGTGAGTGCTATTGTATTAATATAACAATGGTATAGAGGTGTTTTGGAGTATAACGACAATATGAAATGTTTACATGATCTTTAAGGATGGGTAGCAAACCTCCTGTGAATTTTTTCATCCTATTAACGCATTTGTGGGATATTATTTCATCATTATATTGTAATTCAGGGCTTTTGACGATAACCAATTGACGTATTTAACGTATTTCAATCACTATTTTCATTGAGACGTACGTTTTTTTTATAACCTCTTTTTAACTTTTCAATTCCACAGCTGAGGCGGTCCCCCCAAAAACCAAATATCAAGTGATTGAATGAAGATTACGAGGCATTATTAACATTATAAATACGTTTAAAACGTTGATCGAGAGTCTGTCGAGACGTTTTTAACGTTTATAATCATTGATAAAGTGTGTGGCCGCTGGTAACACGGCGATTACAACTGTACAGATGATGCTGATCGATTATTATCAGTCAATGGTGATTATTTGTGTTTTACACATATTATCAATGGTGCATGGGTTGCAATGCAACAATGTGGAGGTTAAAACCATGGTTTCACTCAGTATGATGTGAATATGGCCAGTCGAGTTGCATTTGTTATTGGGAGGTACTTGTGGTGCTGATTGTTTGGTTGTGGAAAGTGACAATTTTCATGATTACTGCTTAATAGGTGGTTTTTAACAGTGAATTGTCGATAATAACGATGAGTAGGAGTGATGCACCTGTTAAATTGTTAAGATGATGAATTTTGTTGCAGTTCTGAGGACTATTCACTGAGGGAATTAATAAACAAATATATGGACAGCTATGTAGTAAGTAACAACGTTAATATCGTCTTGGTTGTTGTTGTTGGGTGGTAATGAGATGATTTAAAGGTTTACCTTGATTCACAGGGTACTACAAGTTCACCTACATGTGCCTCTAGATAAAGTCGTAAAGGTAGTAATGGCACAACGAGGAAAACGAATAAACAAAAACGACAATGACTTGGCGACTTGCCCGGGGGCAATTAAAAGGCGCAAATGTAGATTGGGCCCAACGGCAACGGGCGCATCAGCTAGCTCGTCTGCCCTGGGACCGTCCGAGGAGGAGGAAACGATGGCGTCGTCGAGTCAGGGGCCAACAGCAGGTGGTAATAATGGGGGTAGCGGTGGTGCATCGTGGACACCGAGACCACTGAGTGATATCAAAATATCGAGTATATACAATCGCTCAGCAGCCGAAGCACCAGCTGAATTGTTTCGTAAAGATCTTATAAGCGCCATGAAACTGCCAGACAGTGAGCCACTTAGTCCTAATGAATACTGGGTTATTACTGATCAGTGGAAGCAGGAGTGGGAGAGGGGTGTACAGGTACCAGTTAATCCGGACTCCTTGCCGGAGCCCATGGTCACTGTCACCCAGACGTCACCCGTTAATAAAACCCATGGTGACTTTAAATTGTGAGTAGTTTTTTTTAAATGTTTTTTGGGGGGTTGGGGAGGTGTGGTGAGTGATTTGCATGGACACACTGAGCGAAAGAATCATCCAATATCACGAAATTCATTTGCGGAGCAACATATGTCAGTTGTTGAAGTAGTTTAGGGTGAACAGGCCAATTGCTGGGTGGTTAAGGGAAATTTGAGTTTCGTGGGAGGATGTAAAAGAACAGAATCACCGAAATGGGACTACGATGACTTCCATACCTTCACAATATCAAAAAGAATAAATAAATTAAGTAATAGTTGAATGCAGTCGGAAGCCCTAATTTCTGGACCACTGGGCCGTATTTTTTATTTATTTATTATATTACATGTCGATCAGTACAGTAAAAATAGTTGATCACGTGATTATACACGAGTAATATTATTGAAAGGTGAAATAATCAGTAAAATTTTCATTTTATTATTTATGGAATATTCAATGGAAGTAGAAATGGTCCAGAAACTATCCGTGCAGAAATTGACCTGTTCACCCTGTCCAAACTCCACGTAATTTTAAAATTCCCGAAACAAAATTATTCATCATTGATAATTTCTTACATGAATTCCAATTTTGACGAGAGTAAAAATTAATCTATCAAATTTTCTCCACAATAATTTTCTTAAACAATAGTTGCTCGTTTCACTAGGGCATCCTGTACATTGGGGGTACCCAGAAACGTAAATTATTTAGCAAAAAAGTTTGGCACTGGCGATAATTTTCACATTAGGCATAAAATTTTCATTTTTTCTGATTTTTAAAGATGTTTTCCGCATTTTAATGTTTTCTCTAATCTCGCAAAATAAATTTTCTCATAAGACTGTGTTATTTTGGCACTTCGAAATTAATTTCCATCGATAATATTAGACTGTCAATTGAATATGAACTCAACCACAATGTTCTTATTTAAATCAACTTCCGTTTAGAATTTATTCCAGATTTTCATCTTCAAAATTTAAGTTATATTTATAGTACTTTAAAGGGTAATAGAAGGCCATTGATTACACAAAATTTTCGAACAATTTCCCACGATATTTTTCATCATCAAATCGTATTAACCATTATTAACACCTTTTGACGAATAAAAATCAATTTTTAAAAGTATTGATAATCTTTGGCATGAGATTTGTTTAAAAAGTTTGAGAAAAAGACATTTTTAGGAACTTGTTCATTTTTCAAGTTGTCAAACTAATTCAGTAGTGAAGTGGTAAACGGAGATAAGTCAACTTATCTCCCAGTTGAGTTTTTGAGGAATATTTCCGAATCTAAGGAAGATAGCGAAATTTTCATAATCACATTTGTAGTAGCACTCAATCGGCTCTACAAAAAAGGTTATAACAAAAATTTTGCCATCTCCCTTAGATTCCGAGATATTGATTGAAAACTGGTCAATAGTCAAAATTGACTTATCTCCTTTTACCGCTTCGCTACTGAATTTCTTGCTGAAAATGATCCAAATTTTTTCAAACTATAGCACATGAATCTTTATCATCTCCTGGAGGTCCCTGTCATTTGGATTTCAGAAATACAGGCCTTTTCATTTTAGAGTCACTAGATTTTCCGGCATTTTTTCTCATGTTAATTCCTCTATTAGTTTCGGACATTTCATTGAATTCAGATATAATGTATCATTTCTGATAGCTCAAGTGAACATGATCACGAATAATAATATTCATCATAATTTCTCATTATTTTCCCGAAGAGCCTCTAGCTCATGAGACGAAATCAATATTTTCCTCCCTATATTCTTGAATGAAAAGGCCTACTGATAACTTAGCAGGAAATTCGATTGGAAATTAGCAAAATGAATAAGCTTCGGTCACGCATTGAGGACACTTTGTTTGGAATAAGAAATCTGTTGAATGAGTCGAGCCATATACGAATTCCGTGAAATGTTCATGACTTTTTTGGTTCAAGAGATCATTACCTTATTATCAGGAGGTGCGAAAATGAATAGAAAAAAACAGAATTCGTGCAAAAGGAAAAATTCCAGATATTTCTTAAATATGACCGTCACTTGCTGTCAATCGTCATGAGTTCAACAGAAAGAAATGAATCTATCGTATTTTAGAATTTCCTTATTGCGAGAAAAATATTAATTTTTCTGTGGTATGAAGTCATTTTTTCTCTCAGTGCGTGAAGAATTTCTATAGGAATTCACATAAGATGATGGGAGTGTGGTCATTCCCGGAAGGAATCCTCTAGCAGGGAGCTCCATCAAAATTTAGATTTTCTTTGGAAAAAGTTTCAAGATGTATTGTTTATAGAAGAGTAGGGTGACTCGTCCAGTGTTCGAGTGTACAAAATTCTTCAAATGCCAGTAAATCAATAGAATTGAGTGACGATTTGAAAAGTTGCACTTGGGAAAGTTACATTCTACTGAATATCAACCATTTTCTTTGCGAAGGATGTGGGAATTGCTTCAGTCACTGCACGATTTCCCATTTCCATAGGAATTGATCTTATTCGCGAAAAATCATGTTTTTTGTTGAGAATCGCTTAGGTATAATTTTGCCATAAAACTAGACAAGAACAAGGGTTTTTCCTTCACTTGTCTTGTCTTGTCTCGTCCTCAGGACCAAAAATTCATGTTCTTTTCTTATCACCCTTACATTCACTGCTTCAAATCGAAAGTTTCAGTCGCATCATTTCAAACCAATCCTTGTCAAAACCATTTTCGTTCGAATTATTTTTGATCAAGTCTTGTCAAGAAATCTTGTCTTAAGATAGTTCTCTGCACTGAGAGAAAAAATTAGCTCTGCAAAAAAAAACTATAAGTGCCACGGGAGAATATTTGATGGAGTGGAGCAGATTTACTTCAGGAAAATTAACCAATTTGATACAAGGAAATTTAATATCTTTCACAAAAATTAAATTTTTGTCATGTTCATCAGAAATGTTTGGTGAATTGGAAAATTAGGATAAGTACATTTTTTTCGAAAATGCTTTTTTTTTGTTAAACCGCTTCCCAACAATTTGTGGAAGAGATTTGGCAAAAAAATTTGTTTTCTAAAAAAAAAGAACTTATCGTAGTTTACCAATTTACCACCGAAATATCCCTAAAAGAATTCGAACTGTTGGCAGGAAAAAATATGATCTATTGTACGCAATCATTTGACTTGATAGAACTCTACAGGTTGATACCATAGAAAGAATAAATTGACGACGAAAGAATATTTTTTCCCAAGAAAAATTGTCCCCTCGAAATTATTTAGTTTTGCCAATAACACAGTTTTCGACGAGAAAAATGTAGTTTCCTCTTGAAATTATCATTTGTTCTACGGAAATTATAAGTGTTTATTGGACAAAGATATACATTACTCAATAAAATTCATTTAATAAAACCGGATCCTCATATAATTCTCCGTAGAACGAATGTATTTACCCGAAAAACATAAATTTGTCACGAAAACAATTACTACGACGAAAATTATCGTCTCGGTGGGCAATTATCAATTTCTTTTTTGTCCACAAGTAAATTGATTCCATGCGACAAAAGATCTCTTCAGGAAAGCGTGTAATTTTTCGGCAGACCTAATTTTTTCGCTCAGTGTGCATGAAATCACTTAATTCTGCTAAGAATATCCTAGAACTTCAGTTTGTAGGTTTGTAGTTTGACCCATCTACCTAGGTCATATGAAAAAATCATTGTTCTAATTTTGTAATTGTCTGAGGAGTGAAGTAACCAAATAAGAATAGTCAACTATCAGCGATCGAAGCGGTAAAATTTGATGATAACTTGATTGTGGGGAATTTTTCATAAGATCTCATAGAATCGATCACGTTTCAAAGAGATCAATGTAGCTTACATTCACCTGAATTGATGATTTTGCTCAAATAATACGTCAACTATTTCGAACACTGGACAATTCACTCTTGGTCAAATTTTATATTTTTTTCGGTCTCGAGGACAGGTGACGTACATGAGAAAATGTTGATAGAGTTATTCATAACAGGTGCAATTTCCAACCAAAAATATTTCTCGACATTTTCTAGTGAAATTACTCATGAAGATTATCTGATATTTAATAAGATACTGAATTGTCAGATGTTTCCGGCGGAAAACTTGTGAATCTTTTGAAAATACCTCTCAGCATTTTGTCGTAACATCACTCAATCCGGAGATAAATAAATAGTTAATCAATAATTTACGATCGAATTGACCTACTTCCCTCATTACAGTAGCTTAATGTTGTTGGAGAAAATATCACGAGTTGAAATACTGGGAGAAATGATGTTATCAAATTTTGTTAACCATTTTATTGGAATTTCTCTTTATCTTCATAATTTTACATTACATGAATTGATAACTGACGATTCAGTTATTTTCATAGTAATACTACGTGCATAGAATTTCAATAACTGTCTGCTCTCGTTACTTATGCCTTCCTCAGTAAGTGGAAATAATTAATCATTGCATTACTTCAATAACTCGGCCGAAATTTTCAATTGTCACAGGCCTAAAAAATTCATAAGGATATCACGGGACGATTATTTCAATCCTGAAGAACATCACCTCAGTACAACACCAACTAGGGCTGAGAAGGCGTGCGCTTATGATCTCGATGATACTGATATTGCATGGCTCGAAGTACTCAACGGCGAGAGAGCTCAGGTAAATCAAAACACTTCTCTCATCCCTCCCATAAAAGGGAAAACCTTCACAAACCCTCTATAGCCCCTTTTTCAATCAAATTCTTTACATAAAGCTGAAACTAGAAGGATTTGCCAGCAAAAGGTTCGACTTGGACAAATTTAGGATTTTCCACAAACTTTCAAGTCATAGGGGAGCATGAGGCAAAATGAAACAGCCAAAAAACGACTAACTGACGCAATTAAAAAAAAAAAATTTTTTTTATCAACTTTTGTTTATCAATTTTTTCTATTATTGGGAGTACTGATGAGAATAATAATTTTTTATTCGTCTTATAATTCACTTGATTAAATTACGTCGATTATCTTTTTATTTTTTCATTCGATTGAAATTCAACATCACATTTTCCTTTTTTCCCATCTGGGTCTCTCCCTGGGTCTTGCTCTGGACTTTGAATTTTGCTGTTTCATTTTCTTTTCAATTAATTCATTGACAAAATCTTCTTCCGTAAAAAATTCTCAGTAATTTTCCATTCTACGTAATGGAAAATTATTATTCTCGTCATCTTTCTAATTTCATGTTCTGTACTCCCAACAATAAAAAAATAAATAAATAAAAGTGAATAAAAAACAATTTGATGAAAAAAATTTTTTTGCTTGAATTGCGTCAGACAGTAGTATTTCGACGGTCTCATTTTGTCCCACTTCTCCCCTATACAAACTTGTTCACACTTGAAAAATATTTGTGGGGTGACCAGGCCAATGGTTGGACGGTTAAAGACTACTACGAGCTTTAAAAGTCACGGGCGATTGGAGTGAGATTTTTCATGCATTGATCGATTATATGTCTAAAAACAAATAATTAGTGCAAAAAAATTAATCGTTATTGGTCAGTTGCCCCGCACATGCTTAAAATGTTAAAAATAGTCCAAGGTCTCCAATTTTTTAGCTACAAAGAGTTTTTTTTCAAAATTTTTGAAAAAATGTGCGCAATAACAATTACGAATTTGTTTTTTTAATTCGACTCCTACACACTAGTTTTAACTTTAAAGCAAGGAATAGATTTCTTTTCGATAAATTTTTATAGAGAATGCTTTTAGAGTAAGTAAAAATGTCCTTTAAATCTAGGCATTTTTTCCCCTACATTTCAGTGCCACAGGGTTTTTTCATTAAAAACTAGAAATATTTTCAGTGCCACAATTTGTTCACTGTCCTTCCTATTCTTTACAAATCTTCTTCCTCCCATTACCCTCACGATCAAAACCGAAAAATTACCGAAATACTCCTAACAAAAAACCTATTTCAGGCTGGTCAACCATCGATAACCGAGCCCCAGCTGGAGCGTGTTATCGAGGAGCTCGAGGTCCGCTGTTGGGAGCGCATTCAAACAATAGTTAAGAACGAAGAGGGCCTCGGCATCGAGTACGATGAGAATGTAATATGCGACGTATGCAGATCACCCGACTCTGAGGAGGGTAATGAAATGGTATTCTGTGACTGTTGCAATATCTGCGTGCATCAAGCATGCTACGGTATAACGGCAATACCCGAGGGCTCATGGTTGTGCCGTACTTGCTCTCTAAGTCAGCGTCCTGACTGTGTATTGTGTCCAAATAAAGGGGGTGCAATGAAGTGTACACGCAGTGGACAAAAGTGGGCCCACGTATCCTGTGCACTGTGGATACCAGAAGTCAGTATTGGTTGTGTTGAGCGTATGGAGCCAATAACTAAAATATCCAGTATACCACAGAGTAGATGGGCACTAATATGCGTATTGTGTCGTGAACGAGTTGGTGCTTGCATACAGTGCAGTATAAAAACTTGTAAAACAGCTTATCATGTAACGTGTGCATTTAAGTACGGTTTGGAGATGAAGGCTATCATTGAGGATGAAATGGCTGATGATGGAGTCAAATTGAGATCTTACTGTCAGAAGCACAGTAGAACAAATACCAAGGACAAAGTTGGTGTTGGCGGTGGTGGGGGTGATAAAGCTGGCTCTGAGGAGGAGGAGGGTGAGTCAAGACGACGTAAACGTAAGGACATGACATCCGAGGAGAAGAATCAGGCGAGAGCAGCTAAACTCCAGGAAATTGAGGCTGAATTCGATAAGCACGTCAACCTGAAGGACATAACATCCCAACAGTTGGACGTTGATCCCGATGGTATTGTCTACATCTACAATTATTGGAAACTCAAGAGAAGAGCTGGACACAATAAACCCCTGCTGGCGCCGCGCTGTGGTGAACTCTCAGGCAGTGGTGCACGTGCACAGGGACAGGCCGCTGATCTCGAGAAAATGCGCACATTTGTGCAATTGCGTCAAGATCTCGAACGAGTTAGAAATCTTTGTTATATGGTTAATAGACGGGAGAAATTATGCAGGACGTTTTTACGATTGCGTGAACAAACATTTCATAAACAGGTACTCGTACTCTCTGGTCCACAATTACCACAGGCAGTTGCAGCTGCTGTGGCTGAGGCCAATCATGGCCCATCAATTTACGATCGTTTGTACTCACATCCCGACGGTGAGGATCATACTCGTGACTTTGACACTATTATCGCTAGGATAGAGGGTAAAAAGTCACCGACACCGGTGTCCGGTGATGACAAGAAGAAATCACAGCCGGATTTCAATGGTGCATCGAATAAAAAATTGTATTTCAATGGAACAGTCAGGAGAAAAGGCTTGTATACCAGTGATTTGTCGTCGTTTAGCAGTAGTGAGACGGACACAGCAAAGCCCACGGTTAAGTCGACGAGTAAGGCGAGTAGTAAGAGTAAAATGAAATTGGAAACTGACTCGAGTACGGAGGAAGAGGCCAGTGCTACGACGATAGCATTGAAAAAACCCACGAAAACAATTGGCAGGAGAAAGCAGAAGAAGACGAGTGCACCTGACAGACCGAGAGCGACTGGTGGCAGTGAGAGTGATAAGCAAGACAGTACAGGCGCAAGGTCCAAGACACTGCAGCACATGGAGAAGGAGCTTGGCAGTGCTTCGGGTAGCGATAGTGACGAATTATTTCCACTCAATACGAGTACGAGAGTGGGACCTTCTGCGGCATCTGCCATCTACTCAACAGATTCTGATTCTCAGGAGCACACGGCTCAGTCGGCGCCGTTCATCTCCAAGGCGGCAGTTAAGCAATTTTCAGCTGCTGACAGTGCGAAAAACGCATTGAAGAACTTTGGAAAGGAGTCGAAGGATGGCGAGGCGAGTAACAAGGAGAACGTTAAATCAAAGAAAAAGGAGAAGGAGTATATTCCATCGGCGTTAATCGTGCCCCAGAGGCAGGCGGCGAAGAAGGCCTCTGAGATAATGCAGAGGTCACAGGGCAAGAAGGAAATACCTCAGGAGCCGCCTGAGCCCATCAAGTCACCACCTGAGGAGGCCAAGCCTCCCAAGCAGAAGGACAAGCCTGTGTCAAAGAAGAGTAAGGAAGCGAAAGTCTCAAAGGACTCTAAAAACAACGATATCTACGACTTTGACAAGGAGTTTGGTGATGGCTCTGAAATCCTGGCTTATGTGCCTCAGAGACAAGCAGCGAAGAAGGCTGCTGAGCACATTAAGAGCGGCCTGGGCACTAAATCCACTCAACCGGAAGCTGAAACTGCTGAAGTCAAGTCCAAGAAAGAATCTCCAGACACAAAATTCAAGAAAGACACGAAGAAGGACGAATCCCCTAAGAAAGAGGAGGCGCCCAAGAAGAAATTACCAGAAAAGGCGTCTTCCAGTACCAACAGTGACTCGAGCTCAAGCAGCAGTTGCAGTAGTTCCTCGGAGTCCAGCAGTGATTCAGACGATGGCAAGAGCAGAGCTGGTTCAGCATCGTCGGCCAAGAAGAAAGACCAAAGCTCATCGGCAACATCATCTGAGAGTGATACGAGTAATCAATCTAAGAACAAAGTAATGAACAAACGTACAGGTAAAGCAGTTATGAGTGACGATGCCGCGGAGGGGATTGATAAACGTGGTACAGTGGCTGGGCGGAAACTCAAGAAGCTGCCTGATAAGAAGCTTAAAACTTCCGACGGGCGGCATGGACTCGAGTTTCCACCGCCGCCTACTGAGAGAAAAGAATCAGGTAGAACTGTCACCAAGGATTCAAACCAGTCGCGGCAATCGTCATCCACACTCGCATCATCATCATCATCATCAGCAACACCCCCAGCATCAAAGAAAACCGATTCAACGAGAACGCCCGATATTACCAGTAAAAAGTCACTTCAATCCCAAGGTAGTGTTAACCAAGGTGTGCTCAGTGGGTCTAGAGATAATGATGGGCCAAGAAGTTTATCTGGGCCCAAATCATCTAAAAAGACATCACCAATCAAGCCAGCCCAGCTGCAGCACCAGTCCTCCACGAAAAATCGTAAAGAGGAGGAGCAGTCCAGCACGAGCAGTACACCAAGAGGCAAGTCCGGTGGTGAGGCAAGAAAGCGAAAATCAAGTGAGGTCACTCAAAAAGAAGACAAATCTGGTAAGAATGCGGCTTCGGTCAAGAAAAATGAGAAGAGGGTAAATGAGAAGACAGTCGAGAAGGAGTCCCCTGAAATTATAGAAGTAAGACCTAAAGAAATTGAGGAACTTCCTCTTGAGGTGGAGATTATTAAACCTAGTAAACCAGAGCCAATACCTAAGCAACGTCCTGAGTCACCTAAGGAGGACAGAAGAACGAAGAAGGCTGGCAATAAGAGTCCTATGCACTTACTGCTGCTTGAGGAGGAGATGAAACAACGACGGGCTGAACGCGATAGTCCTAAGAAGTCCTCCAAGGGTCTTGACAAGTTTTTGGAGAAACGAGAACATCTGGACAAGCTATTCAAGGCTAAGGGGGTTGAGGCGAGGCACGAGAAGGAGCCGAGTGAAGAAGCACACAAGGAGGGTCACAAGGATGTTCACAAAGATGTTCACAAGGATGCTCACAAAGATCGCAAAGATACTCACAAGGAGAAGCCCTCGAGGCTCGAGGAGAGGAGATCGCATGGCTCAGAGGGGCGTAAGAACCACACAAGTGAAGGTGTTCCAAAGATCTCTGCAATTTGTGATAGTGAACACCCGGAGGAGCTTGTGAACGCCCTGAGAAGAAAGAGGGATCACAAGGGTGAGTCTGAGCCTTGTGGGATTCTCACCGTCGTTATGGAGAATCCACCGCTCGGTAAGGAGCAAGAGACCTTCCAAAAGCCCCAGACAGTCCCCGAGAAACAGGTACCAGACGTTCAGTTCGAGAAGGAGATCCTCAAGCGACGAAAGTCCATCAATCGTTCCATATTTTCGCCTCAGCATGGCCAGTGCAAGGACCCCAGTGTGTCTGAACTATTCGACTTTGATCAGGACATCCTCAATGACGACATCAACGACGATGGCTTCAGCATACCCAGGGACCCTGAGGAGCGTCAAGCCCCTCTAACCTTCTCCTTCAACAACGAACTATGGTTCAAGGAGGACACGAAAGAGGACAGCGCGAGAGAAACTCTCCACCTGGTCGAAAAACTCCGAATGGAACTCTCGAAAAAATCAAACACCAGTCAATTTGATTCAGAGCCTCCAACCACTGAGGAAGTGAAGAAAGAGGAGCCACCTCCATCCAAAAAATCTTCAGAAGCCCCTCCCAAGGATCCGAAGCCCCAGGAAGTCGCGTTGCCCCCGGAGCCCCCACAAAAGCCCCGGGAGATCCCTCAAAGCCCCGAAGAGACTCACAAAAACCACTCAATCGAGGAAAAACGAAAATCCTGTTATCCAAACAACGCCGAGCCCTACGCGCCCTACCCCAACGACGACCTGGCGTCCGGTAAAGTCGCCATTGCCGAGCGAGCAAAACTGGATAGAGCGCAGGCAGACGAGAGATGGGTGCCACCGAGTATAGAGAACTTCAATCCCAACGACGTACAGCATCTCAGTCAACTGATGGAGAGTCAAAACCACAGATACTCACACGGATTTCCCAATGATATTACCTCGGTGATGCCAGAGAACAATGCTGACGCTCTGGTGCACCCTCAACTCAACCTCAACATGCAGGATCAGTATCAATTGATGCAGCAGCAGCAGCACGCAATGGTACGAGCCCATTTGGATCAGCATCCAGAGTCAAGGCCAATGCAGCAATTACCGATGATGGATCAGCAGTTGCCAGGTCCCATGGTGGAGGAGATGACGCCCATGGAGATGGTTAACAGACACCTGATGGCACTGCCGAATGCTGAGGACGATCAGAACAGTGAGATTGACAGGGGCCTCGAGAAGGAGGATGCATCGTCTGACATAAGGCAGGACTACACCCAAAGCAGTTCCCCTTACAACGACATCAACAACAGCAGGCAGGATACCAGGTGGGCAGAGAGCCAGGTGTTGCCCTCGAGGAGATCAACCTCCTCCTCGATAACATCTGCCTCGTCCACTGAGGAGCACGCGTCCATACCACCCTACAAGAACATGGCACCTCTGCCATTTCCACCAGGTTCCATGGAGGGAGGCCCCTACCATCCCTACGCAGACTCGAGTGCCTACGCAGGTCCAGTCTCACTCTTTCCACCTCAATCATGTGCAGCACCACTCCCTTATCCCTCTCCAGGCACGGGGATGTTTCCTCCCGTCTTTGGCGCCCCCTTTCCAACCCCCCAGAGCTTACTACCTCACGTTCCCAAGCCCCTGGACGACTCCCTCAACATGCAGGCCTCCCCCTGCACAGCAGCCTTCACCTCATCCTCTCATAACATGGCACTAACAGCTGCCATGGTATCTCCACCCAAAATCCCGACTCCACCGCCCACTGAACCTACTCAACCCACCCAACCCCCTCCCAGCCTTGAGCCTGCCGAGGAACAACCAACACCTGAGACCATTCAGCCCCAGGTCACCTCCCCAGCGTTACCCATGACTTACCCAAATAACATGCCTGAAGCTCAACAACTACCTGAACCGGTGGTTGAGAATGTTCAACCACCAGATCAGAAGGCCAGTCAGCCTGGCAAAAAGAGCCCCTCCAAGCCCACGAGAATGTCAGCGAGAGTTGGCTCTCTGCAGGGTAAATCTCCTGGCAAGTCCCCCAGGCAGGAGCCTGTCAAGCCCCCAACGACAAACAGGGGAAGACCTAGGGCACCAAAGGGCTCTCAGCAGGGCTATCGGGGTCGAGGAAGGGGCAGGGGTCGGGGGAGAGGGCGAAACAGCCAGAATGCAGCCATCGCGATCCTGCCAACCCTCAGCAATACCATTCACAGTGATGACTCCATCCAAAACAAACTCGTGGGCACTGTCTACGACTTTGACTCTGACGAGGACTCTACCAACGAAACCAACATTGCTGACTTAAAGACCATGAGGGAGAGGAAGAAGTCCACTGACGTCAGTGAAAAGCGTGAGTCGAGTATTTTGAAGGAGGGGATTCAGTCGTTGTCGAGTCCAAGTGTTCACAAGAAGTCTCCAGCTGTCTCTGAGTACAGCAACATGACAGAGGCCACTGCTGTGGGCCAGGGCTTCACGGACACTGTGATGCCTCTTCTTCCAGGTCCCGTTGATATGAGGACCTATAACTCGACGACTGAGGGACAAACGTCATCTCTTCATGCTCAAACCTACGCGAATCACATCCTCGGGTCTTTCTCGGGTGTCTCCACAGATCCGGCTTTACCAGACATGGAGGACGAGCTGGCAGACGCCCTTCACCTGTCGAAGCCAGACGCCTCGAGCTCCAAGACCAGCTTCAATGACCCAAGTATGGAGATGTCGTCGAGTGTCAGTGATGGAATAAAAATGTCGTTATCAGACTCCAGAAATCAGCTCAAAGTCAAGATCAAGGGCCCATTCTTGGACGCCAACTATGTGGCAGGATCGTCAGTACCTCCACTGGCTCAGCAAGCCCCAGCGATAATTACGCCATCAGCAACGAGTGCCTCGGGTATCTCTGGCACCTCGAATCTCCGAAGAATGAGGAAGAAGGAATTACTGAGGCAGTACTGCTCTCAGGCTGACATGAACACTGAGGACTCTGGTATTGGGAGTGTCACAGCTGCACCAATTAACATTCCACCGATCAATAGACCCGTAATTACAGTACCTAAAGCAATTAAATCAGTGGCTGTATTCCCGACCAGAGAAGATTACAGGGCTGTGGTAGATGCTAATAGCACGGAGAAGAAGAGGAGAAAAGACCGGGGTGGAGGTTTTCCAGAGGCACCTGAGGACGATGCGTCTGGTCGTAGGCCAATTGGTGGCACTAATACTGACAGACGTCGGGGCAGACAACCGAAGACACCAGCGGGGGTTGTCAACAGCGCACCACCAAAGCTTAAAATCAAAATTGGTAATAGTATCATGGGACAGGAGATGGGCACTGTGCAAGAGGATAGAAGTAAGATAAGGCCTCCGAAGAAGAGACTGAGCAACATTCAATCTAAACCGAGTATTGAGGAGCTCAAGAGGGAGAGCATGAAGTTCAGGAGGATGATAATGGCTGGGTTTGATGACGATGAGATGACTCAGGAGAAGAGCAAGAAGGATAAGAATGGAAAGAGGCGGAAGAAGCAGAAGGGCAAAGAGGGGAGGGTGCAGATACTCGAGGGTGGCACATCAACGACGAAGCTCATTATCAGACTCAGCAAGGGAACTGAGGCGCATCACAAGACTCAGGAGGCGTCGGGCAGTGCTGCCAATGAACGTGTCAGCCAGCCTGAGAATCCGGAGAGTCGGGTGGGCCCTGGTGCTACTGAACCCTCCAAGAGTGATCCCACTTATCCATCGGACAATAGTGCAAGTGAAAAACAACCGGTTGATCAGAACACTTCTAGCACATCGGTTGGTAATGTTAGGTCTGCCAAGGTAACGCCAATCAGATTAAAATTAACAAGGTGCAATCAGGGTTACGAGCTACAAGCGCCAGCTGGTACCAGTGGTGAGGGAACTGGTACAAGTGATACTGTGACTAATCCCGTTGAACAGGTAGCAACGGATGCTGATAAAAATACTGGCGATGGTGGGTGTGAGGAGACCAGTGGGGAGAAAAAGACTTCCAGTGAGGACGATGTGAAAATTAACAGTCAGACAACAACGGCGAGCCACAATTCACCGGGTTGTCCAGCTGCAGCGCCTCTACCCCAAGGATGCCAAGTTAGGTGATAATTAATGATAATTGTATAAATACAGTAATCAATGGCTCTTATTAGATTTATTTACTATCATTATAAATAAAAAAGAGAAGAAGTTTTTAGATATATGTATATATTATATATATATCCGAGTAATGTATATATAATAATATTCATATATGTATGATAAAAGTAATGTTTCAGTGTTGGACACGTATACACAAACACAATACACAAAGTGACTCGTTTTTAAGAAAACTAAATGAAGGAAAACGAACTTTGCTCAGTTTTAATTTTTTTTTTTTGTTTGTAATGATTCTCTCTCCATTGTTCAATTTCTTTTTTTTCTAAATGTAAATTATTGAATCTATATGTAAATGATCTGAGGGTGAAAGTGAAATAAATCACAAAGTGCCCCAACAAATTCACCATAAATTTTAGTATGTACATTCTGTTTTCTTTTATGTAATCATGAGGAATTAATGGTGAGTTTGGGTTGAGGTATCACTCGTTGGTTTTTATAGTTATTGTGTTTTCACCTGGTTGACTTTTCTAGTGAAGTTTTTCTGCATTTTCGGGTTTTAATCAGCAATTTTCGATGATTTTTTTCAAGTGCCATCATGGAATTTTGACACTTGGTGTAGACAATTATGATTTATGATCTTTTTCTAACGAACATGCGAACTAATCTGCTCAATAGTAATAACGATTGATACCTTGACCGATCGCCCTGGGAAATATTGAATTCCTATCTTTGTACAAAATTTAAAAAACAAGAATAATCACTGGTTAAGGCCCGTGTGTATTATCTTTCGAACGTGTTCTTGTTTTTTTTTTTATTTTGATAATCTGAAAGGTTCTTCAATTGCCATTCAATTTTGCATACTCGTGGATTCTTAAAAAATTATGATTAATTGAAAAAAAAACTGAACATTTTTAAAGAGCATTTTTTAATAATATTGGGAAATAATCAAAATAGGAAGGAAATTGCAAATTAATAATTTATGTCGCGCCGTGCAATAAGTCGAGTTTATCGCACGCTGCGCTTCGCGCAGCCTGCTCAAAACTCGACTTCTGCACGATTTGACATAATAGTATATTTCAGAACGTGTGGGGCAATTTCGTCTTTAACGTGTGTGGGGTTTACAGCATGAGCCGAAGGCGAGTGATGTAACCACACACGTTAAGGACGAAATTTCCCCACAAGTACTGAACAAAATTTTATGTCACGAAGCCTGAAACCGGCTGAATTAGACACGAGACGCGAAGCGTCGAGTGTGTAATCCAGCCGGTTTCAGGCATGAGTGGCATAAAATATTATAGAGCACTCGGTAATAAATTTCGTTTTCAACGAATGTGTAGTTTACAGGCCGAGCCGAAGGCGAGGTCTGTACACACATTCGTTGAAAACGAAATTTGTGCCCTTGTACTCTAATCTACTATTACAGTATCTAATAGCTGTTAAGTCGTCATTTGTCACAATAGTCAATGGCTGTCAGATCGTTAATTACCATGATAAATTATCTATTTACAATTTCCTCTCTGTCGGATTTATTTCCTAATCTTGATTAGAAATGCTCTTTGAAAATGGACAGTGGTTTTTTTCTACTTTTTTTTATTGTTTCATCATAATTTTTAGCGACTCCTGCATGATTGAAAATCCAGTGGAAATAATGATATATTTTAGATTATGAAGATGGAAAAACAATCGATAGAGATAACATTAAAAAGATGACCCATCTGGGCCTTAAATCGTGATTTAATGAAAAACCCTTAGATATAGAAAAATTTAATAAAAAAATTACTATGAGTATATTTCCCGAGATTATTGATTTACATCAGAATGACTATTAATCAAAGGAAAAATCGTAAGAGTGAACAATGTGTCTGTGTGTGAGCGAAAAAAATTATTGTGAAAAAAGTGATCGTTCTGAACGAGAATAAAAAAACATGAACATGGCTCTGAAAGAGTGGAAAATATCTAATGGCCATAAAGAAGGAAAAATGTAAACTCGAGGAAGAAAAAAAAATCGAAATTTTTGTAATGAAATTGTTCTTTTATCCGAGTCATTAAAGTTAAGTTGACCTTTTTGATTTATTGTGTTTTTTTTTGTACAGTTGCAGCTAAAGCAGAACAGAACAGAGCATTACATATATTTTTTTAACATAGAAAACCTTCTACATTAGTCGCGCTAGCACATTTATTCTGTTTCCATTCTTATTTTCGTCAGTTGTATAGTAATCATTGGCAGAAGTTATTTATTAATGTCCCCTCCCCTCCGCGGTGTAATTAAGTGCGCACATTTTGTTTTATTGACAGTCTGAATCGTTTTTAAACATTAAACGTAAAACGTTGTTCCTTGAATTTCTTCTCTCGTTTATCAATGTTGTACGTAATACTCACGGCTGAACGTGAATGAAAACAACTGTTCGTGCCATTGATCTACCGGTGTTTTTTTATAGATTGTAAATGAATGAGTGGAGAAACATGGAGACGATCAATCCGGACAATGTGGAAATGATAACGATAATTATTGCGAATGATCGAGAAGATCATAAACCCCTGAATGCCAGAGTTTTATGTCTTCGCGTCATTCTGACGTGTCTTCACACTACTTTAAGAAAAAAAAAAACAGAGACATGAAAAGGATTTTACACGTGTAAATAACGTTCAATATTTTCACATTTTCCACATGCTTCTTCGTTACTTTCTATTGAATAAAATGATGAAAATATTTTAAAAAACTAATCCACAATGTTAAGTTTTTCGTTTTTCACAAAACGGCTGTGCAACCGTACGATCTTTTTTATCTTCCGAAAGAACGTAGCTCCCAACATTCTGTCTTGCACTGTGGGTCCTCAATACGACTTGAATACAGAGCAAATGGAACAAGAACAAAATAATCGAGATGGACTTGAGAAATTAGCATATCTTCCATTCGCTTATTTCTATAGTTTCATAGAGATTGAATGAGTAAAGAATCATGAAAGAAATTATTTGAAAAAAAATTGTTGAGACGTAATCGATACACCAAAGATTGTACTGCGAAATATATTCGAAGCAATCTCAAAAACAATGTACACAATCTATTATTAACAATTAAACTTAACAAATTTAGAATGACAGGATGAGATTTTTTAGGAGAATTGGAGATAAATAACTTTTTACAAATTTTGTGTTAACAATTGTTCATTCGTCGTTTTTTTACAAACTCAATGAGACTATGAACTCAGAATTAAGACAAGAAATAATTGAATAAAAAAGAAAGAAAATAACAAAGAAGAATTCCTCTAAACCCCATTGATACTATCCTCTACACTCGTAAGTGTAAATAAATATTGTCAGTGATAAGATTGAAGAGTTTTAAGAGCCTATATATTGTACAGAAACCCTGAGGTAATTATGATTTATGGAGAAGAAGAGTAATGAGATGTATTTGTTTAACTGAACAATTGTTTTCTCTTTCTTATGCATATAAAATGATGATTAAAAAAAAATATTGAAATAATGACGATAATAACTTAAGAGTTTAAATGAATAGATGAAGGAAAAATACACCTGTAACAATGATTAGCTAATGATCATTTTACATAGGAATACAAGATAGTTTTATTATAAATCAAGTGACATAAAGCAAAAAGCAAGAAATATTATTATATAAATATTATATATACAATTGATTAAGATTATTTAGTTAACTGTAAATAGTGTACAAGAAAGCTGGTCTTGTAAGATAAAGATTAAGGTGTTTTAATGTGCACATAGCCGCGTCATTGTCAATAATCATATTACTACGATTAATAATAATAACAGTTTTTAAAAAAATATCGATCGTTATTAGTACTGCGTTCATTTACCTGCTGAATTGAAGCGAAAAAATCAAATATTTCAAGTGGGTTTCCATTCAAAAAGAGATCAGAGCCCCCTACTGGCGACAGAAATTTTGAATTTCTCTCTGTTCCTTTATTATTGGTCGGCCAGTGCTGTGTTGACACGACTGACACGCTCTAGAAGAAAACAATCGCTCCACAGTGTTTTTTACTTGGTAAATTAGTAGTTAGTTAATAGTGAATAGGACATTATGGAGCTGAAACCATTATCTCATGGGTTACTACTGGTTTTTCTGGTGAGTTTAGCCATTTAAGGAGTGAATTAATGTATGATATGTTAACCTCAAATGGTTGACAGAGTTATCACTCGTGGATTTTTTCATACAAGAATGGGAAATCATTGATTCTAGACGAGTTTTGTTGATGGAGAGTTCACGGCTGAAGACTGCAAGACCTTAGGATTTAATAAAGCGACTTTGCTCTGCTCCACGTGCGAACAGTCCGCGGATTTCAATCTGAATGAGATCCGGTAAGTATTTGTTACGAAATGGTTCATACGGGGGAGGTGGGAGTAAAATGGACTTTTGACTTTTTTTAAATGTTAACGACTGGTTGAAATGTTGATGAAATTCAATTTTTTTTTGAATGCAAAGAACAATTCAGTAGCGAAGTGGTAAAACGGTACAAGTCAATTTTGACTATTGACCAGTTTTCAATGAATATCTCGGAATCTAAGGGAGGTGGCAAAATGTTTTTGAAACCTTTTTTGTAGAGTCGATTGAGAGCTACAAGAAATGCAATAACCAAAATTTCGCTATCTCCCTTAAATTCGGAAATATTCCTCAAAAACTCAACTGGGAGATGAGTGGACTTGAACAGTTTTACCACTTCGCTACTGAATTCTTTCCCTTTGTGATGAGCCTGAACTGAGTATAATTGATAAATTTGTTTCTGAGTAATGAGTAATTTTAAAAAAGTCTAAAGTGTCCATTTTACCCCACCCTCCCTTAGGGTAAACAGGTCAATTTTTGGGCGGGGGTTAGTTTCTGGACGATTTCAACTTGCATTGAATATTCTATAAATAAAAGGAAAATTGTACAGATTATTTCACCTTTCAATAATATTAATCGTGTATAATCATGTGACCAATTAATTTTTCTATTGATCGACATTTAAGAAATAAAAAAAATATGTACCAGTCGTCCAGAAATTAGGGGGTTCAGCTATTCAACTATTCAACTATTTCTTCATTTAATTATTGTTTGTTTTGTTATTTTTACTTGAAATAATTTTTTTCTGCTAATTAAAACATTCTTCAAGGTGTGGAAGCCATCATATCCCCATTTAGGTGATTCTTTTATTTTAGATCCTACCACGAAATTCGAATTTCCCTTAACCGCTCAGCAATTATTGGCTTGTTCACCCTAGTCAAATTAAATATATGCTGAGTTTCAAAGTTAAAGGGGATGAATGAACTTTTACCATGAATTTTTCGTAGATTTTGCTGATAAGGAAAGGAAAATCTACAAAAATTCCGCTATTTTAGATTCCAAGATATTTTCCAAAACTGGTCTTTTTTTAAACTGGTCTTTGGGATAACTTTGGTGCTATGGCGGGGTAGTTTGCCTCGAAAATTTAAATTAGATGAAATCTTGATTTCTGGGTTCCAACGTTGACTGAAATGTTTTGTCACGACTTGAGGGATATGAGAATTGCAGAGAAAGAGAAGTTTCTAGTTTCCTGGAACAAATTACTAATTTTAAGAAACTCGTGTTTCGATCATTCTCAATGACATCTCAAAGTTTTTAAAATTTTTTTACATTTAAGGCCCGAGTGTACTATCTTTCGAATGTTATCTGGATTTTTTTTATCTTTCGTAATCCAAAATTGTCAATTGAGTGGTACATCATGTAGAAATTCCCAAAAATTATAATAGAATGGTAAAATTGAGAAAATTCTGAATTTTTTCAAAGAGCGTTTTTAATTGAGATTGAAATTGCATGGACACATTGAACATGCAAAAACTTCCAGCTTGACTTTTTTTCCGAATTTTCTTTGCGCCCTGCCATAATCGTTTAGTCACACGATGTGAAATCCTATATAAACTCACGTCGTCGTTGTTGCTTATCCTAATAAACGATTAACCGATTCAGGGATCATTGCCGAGAGTGTTGTGTTAAGGACGACGACACTTCAGGGAAGCGTTATCCAAGAGCGGTTTTGGAAGTCTGCACCTGTAAATTCGGTGCTTACCCTCAGATCCAGGCATTCATCAAGAGTGATCGCCCCAAAAAGTACAAAAATCTCCAGATCAAGTATATTCGAGGTCTGGACCCAGAGATGAAGCTGTATGATGCTGATGGTAACGTTGAAAACCTGGACATCCGTAAATGGGACACAGATTCAGTTGACGAATTCCTTCAGACCCATTTAGTTCTAGAGTAGAGGAGTAAGCTAGCACCAACGAATTTTTGTAATATACTCGTCTGTAGGAAACAAAAAATACAATTTTTCCACAATCTATTACAGTACAACTCGTTTATTTATTGGTGACTTCCGTGATACAGAGAGATATCCATGAAATATGTGATAGTTATTTATTTCGTCGCAGCTGACCAATACATAAGACCATTAAATCAGTAGCGAATTGGTAAAAGGAGATAAGTCAATTTTGACTATTGACCAGTTTTCAATCAATATCTCGGAATCTGAGGGAGATTGCGAAATTTTTGTAATTACATTTGTTGTAGCATGCAATCGGCTCCACAAAAAAGGTTATAACAAAAATTACGCTATCTCCCTTAGATTGCGAGATATTGATTGAAAACTGGTCAATAGTCAAAATTGACTTATCTCCTTTTACCAGTGAAATGGCTTTCGTGTTTCTGGATGCACGGTACGTACCTCTGTAAGGAAGGATCTCATTTTTTTTATTGTTTAAAGTGCGAAAATCTACATGATTTATTTACACTGTCTGTAGTGGATTTACAATTTTAGTTTCAACAGTTTTTTATATTTTATTGTACAGTCATATGTTTATTTTACCTGCTTGGACGAACTTGGGTAAAGGACATTTCTTGCGTGCCCAGAGAATACAATTTTTTAGAACTACTAAATCTATTTTTCCGACAAAATTTTTTTATAGAGCAATCTTGAAATCAGTATCGAAGCCGTAAATCGGGTTAAGTCGATTTTGACTATTGGCCAATTTTTTACAAATATCTCGGAATTTAAAAGAGATAGACAAATTTTCGTCATGACCTTTTTTACAACCCTCAATTGACCCTACAAAAAAGGTCATGAGGAAAATTTTGCTATCTCTTTTTGATTCTGAGATATTCATCAAAAACTGATCAAAAGTCAAAATCGACTTACTAAACAATATTTGCTATTTTTTATTCAATTTAATGATTAATAATTGTCCTGATTTTTATTCCTCTACGAATATCCAATTAAGCTCTAGGAGTTTACCAAAAAATTAGATTTCACAATCTACTACTTTTGTTTATTCATCAATTGCAATTGTTTATTCATCAATTGCAAGTAGGGGAAATAAAAAAAACAATTTTCTCAGATGTTTATTGCTGCCTTTCACGATAGAGACGAAGGCAATGATACGCGTGATTTGCAATTAGCTTATCTGCAGCTGGTATGAAAGGCCATGTTATGTCGTCACACTTAATCAATACACAAGAGAAACAAATGTCTTGTATCAAAACACAAGACAAATCTATATCTTTCGTATTCCTAGAAAAATGGTTCGTGGCTCTGAAATTAAAAGATCTATCCCATCGAATCCAAAGAAGGGAACGCTATACTTATTCTAATGAATACTGAGCACAAACTGCAGATCGTAAGTATTCCCAATTATCTACGTTATTTTTCTCTCTTGATATCAAACTTAGGGATTAAAGCATATTCGTGCTCTGGATCCATCGATGAAGCTTTATGATGCAGACTGCTACCCTTGTCCTACATATCCAGATCTTCAGTTGCACCAAGCCCAGTTAAGAAAATCCTCAATTAAGTATCGGAATAAATAAAAATAACTTCCTTCCTTAGGGTCGGGAAGTTAATAATCTGTCCATCAATTTTGATCAAAAGTCCATCGCAGGTATTTTACAAAAAAAAGTGGAATATGGATCTATCATCACCATTTGCCAATAATGCCACTATTTCAGTAGCAAAGCGATACAACGTTTCAAGTAGATTTAGCCTTTAGCTGAGTTTTCGAGGAATATTTCCTAATCTAAGGGAGATAACAAAATTTTTCACACCCCTGCACGGAAAGTTCATACTTTCCTCCCGCTCATCAAAGAGCAAAATACGAACTTTCCTTTGGAGGCGTGTTAAAAAATCGCATGTGCACCTCGGGCGGGAAGTCTTGACTTTCCGCCCTTGATGCACAACATACTATTTCGTCATATCTGCACGGAAAGTTCGTTTTTCCTCCCCAAATGACGGGAGGAGAGTGACTTATCCCATTCCTCGGATTTCTGTTGTCGAAAATCGAACTATACCGTGCAGTTATGACGAAAAAGAGTATGTGTACCAAGGAGGGAAACAGGAGATTAAAACCCGTGTGTGGATTAGAATGTCCTGTTTTCCTCCCTTGGTGCACAATTTACTATTTCCTTATGGCTTTTTTGTAGTGTGAATTGAGGGCTATAAAAAAGCTCACAACAAAATTTTTGCTAGCTCGTACTAATCAATGCTCAGGATTTAATTACATTATCTCATTCCTTCGTTAATCATTGAACTCCAGAAGAATGTTCATTAAAGCATATACCCACAGACAGTTTTATGAATCAAATGAATGGGTTTATTCAAATAGCTTGTAAACTCATAATAAAGCTTTTATGGAAGCTTACACGCGGATTTACTCAGCTTTTCATTCACGTCAAATAGTTTGTTAAATATGAACAAATGTTTCCCCGATCCCCATAGATACTTCGTTAGTTAGAAATGAAATAAATTGGTAAGAAAATGAAGAGACCAAATCGAATTTATAAACATGTACTAATCCAAGATTGTTAATCTTTATGTCCTTCATTTGATTCTGATGAAGGACTTATTCGGAATTGATGAATTATTGATTTTGTATGATTGCGACATAGCATTGATATGAATGAGTTTATTAATTGCCAACAAAAATATTATTGAAATAAAGTTCAAACATCAATTTCAAATAAAGTTTGAAGGAGACGGAAAATACAATTTTTTCCAAATTACACCATAATTGATTTATTTATTACTGACTTTCATGATACAGAAGAGAAATCAATGAAACACGTGATATTCATTTATTTAATCAAAATTCTGGAATGAAACTTCACGTCCTGTCGTCACAATTAATCAATACACAAGACAAACAAATGTCTTTCAAATTCCTAGACACATGGTTCATGGCTATAATGAAAAATCCATCATATTGATGTCGAAGAGAAGAAAAATCCTAGTTGTCCTAGTTGATACTGAGCACAAACTGCATATTATAAAAATTTATAATCGTCTACATATTCAACTCCTCACACTGACGTTACATGATACGATCCATACAGACAAGGAATTATTACTTCTCCTTCGTAGTTGTGATATTCGATCATTGAGTTGAGTTGTTTATCGACGAGAACGTCTGGCCCGTTGGTGTCCCCTGGGGCCACCACCGCGGAATCCTCGACCACGATTCTTATTCGCAGAGTTGTTTATGGACGAGTTATTGGGACTGTGATTGCTGGGGGTTTTGCTGATTATTGGAGGATCAGGAGGAGTTGGGGTTGACGGAGTGGCTGGAGTTGATGGAGTGGCTGGAGCTGATGGAGTTGTTGCAGGTGTTGAAGCCGCTGGGGTGGACGTATTCTGAGGCTGTGACTTGCTCTGAGGAGTTTGTGGAATAGACTCGATCTTCTCATCCCCATCAATCAAATTACCCACTTCTGACTCGTCTTCGTTATCAATGTCCTCCCAAACGTCAGCAGCCTTGTCGTCGTCTTTCTTGGGATCTATTTCTTCCACCTCATCCTGCTCAGTTTTATCTTTTTCCTCTTCAGAGTCTCCATCAGCCTCCATGGGATCGTATTTGTCGTCTCCTTCCTCTTTATCGTTCTCGTCAGCTGCTTCATCTTGTTCAGCGGACTTTTCCTCCTCTGAGGGTTTTTCGGTCTCTTTCTGAGCATCTTCCTCGAGCTTTGGACGTTTTGCCTCCCTCTCGCCATCCTCTGCTGCAGCAGACTCTTCCTCTTTGTTCTCTGAGGCTTCCTCAGACTTCTCTGCAGCCGGTGGAGGCACGTTGAGAGCTTTCACCTCGTTAAAGAAGTTCCTGTAGTGGACCATGGTCTTCAAGTGAGCATTCACGTCCTCCTGAGTCAACATGAAACGCTTGCACTTCTCGCAGTGGAAACCTGTGACTTCCTTCACCATAGATGCGCCAAGAGCAAGCTGCTTCTGACGAGCGTACTTGAAGGTGGGAACCTTAGTCGTGTCCATGTTCTCACTGATGTCCGTGATGTAGTCCTTCTCTTCTTGGGGCTCTTCGTCCTTGTCGGTGGTCTTGGACGCAGATCCAGACTCGTTCTCCTCGTCCTCAGCAGTGCGAACCTCTGACTCTCCTTTGGGGAGCTTGACCTTCTTGGTCTTCTTCTGCTCCTCTTGCGCTGCGGCCACCATGTGGGTGGGGGTCAGACAGTGCTCGTCGTACTCTATTCTGGAGGGGAACTCCTTCACGCAAGGGCCGCACCGAGGATGCAGGAAGGTTTTGAGTTGTTGATGCTTGTCACTCTTCCTGTGGCTGGAGAGCGTTCCGAAGAAGTTCAAGTCGCACATTGTGCAGTACTCACGAACGTTGAGGTCCACTGAAACCTGGGAACATAGATTTTAATCTGGTACTTAGACTATTTCAAACTCTTGGGCAGTTTCTATGAATTTTCAAAGAATTTCGTCATTGAAAATTCGTAATTTGATGAAAAAAATTAATAAAAAGGGTAAATTTCAATTCAATTTCTCCATGAAAGTTGATGAAAATTCGAAGAATTTATGTAAATAAATTATAGAATTTAGAATTTCGTTATTTCTTCTCCCCTAAATTGACTTCAATGTCACCCTCTTGAAAATTACTATCGAACTGTGCTCGAAATTTCCCATTTTTCTAACAGTAGAAGAATGGTAAATTCTGCTAAATTCTTTTTCACATCTTGATTGGCGTGAAATGATCTCGATAGTAAGTTATTTTGAAAACAAATGTCAAAAGACATTTTTTTGTAGCCCAAAAATGTTCCAACAGGAAATGTCTCTTGGCATTCTCTCCTAAAATCCCTCACTATCGAGATACAACTACAATAGACCTCTTCATCCTGAGAGTAACTAAATTTTCGGACACTTTTACCGAATTGACATATAATCATTTATGCAAGCTTAAATGTATATCCCCTTAAATGTCAATATTTATGAAAAAATTTCATTATTTTACTGAAGATTCTTCATTTCGATGAAAGGAATAAATATTTCCCTTAGATTTCCAGAATGAAAAAGTCTATTACCGAATACATCACCGTATTAATTGCATCATCTATTTCTTCCCGCGGTTTCTATTTGTCACTTCATTTACCTTCTTGCCACGACGTTTCGAGTTATTCAAGCTCATCTCCCTCTGCTCCTCTGACACTCTCAGCTCATGCCGCATAAGGTCCACCTTCAGCTTGTACGATTCATCGAGTTTATCCATCATCAGCTGATGGGCACGTCCACGAAGATGATTCTCGAATGAAAATCCATCCCACATGTGCTTGTTGCACACGTGACAGAACATCTGGTTGATGGCAACTGCAGCATATCGGCTCTCAGCATGCCTGGCCTCCGACTTCTTGCCACTGCCATCATCCTTCTTCTTGTCTGGAGATCCAGACTTGTCCGCAGAGTCTTTCCCCTCATCAGTCGTCTTCTCCGTCTCCGAAGTCTCCATGGGAGTGTCACCGTCTTTCTCATTTTTAACTTCGGTCTTCTTGTCATCTTTCTCACCTGGTTTCTCGTTGCTAAACAGTTGTATTGAACAATTAGAAAGAACTCAAGGGACGAATAGTGGACAAGATATACTTCGTGGATTATTTATTTCAATACAATATGTATCATGTGGAATGACAAGAGTTAGAGATAAAGTTTGACAGAATTTTTGGCGGCCCAACTAGTGGTGTCCAGGGCTGTGAAGACGAATTATTGATAATCGAACCTTTGGTAAGGTCACGAAGGACCAAATAAAGAGTCCAACAACCAAAATAATATTAATTATTTTTAACAATCACCAACGTACATATCATGTGAACAATAAAATTGATAATTATCGTACATCGAGCGTGCTTGATAATTACTGTTTATCTTTTACAATCGCCTGTTTAATAAAATAAACGTATGGCGAATTAGAAGGATGATATTGATTGGATGAAATCCTTACCTTTTAACAACTGTCTCGGTATTCGGCTTTTCTTTATCAGAGTTCTTAACATCCTGCTGTTCCTTTTTGGACGTCTGATTTTGTTTAGCAGTATTTGCTTTAGAGTTTTTATCGTTGCGATGCTGATTTTGATTTCCATTGGCACGCTGATTGCCGGACTGGGAACGAGATTGTTGTGCGGATGATGGGCCACGCCGTCCGTCGCGGGCACGGTTACCCATCTAATTTGTTTGCATGTTTTATGTTTTTGTTTTGGAGTGGATCGAAACGACCCAGGCAACAAAAAATGGTTGAAAAACCAATGTGAGATATCTTGTTTTTCTTCGATAAAAAAAAGCATATTTTGATTCGAGATTATCGAATCGAAGTTCATTCATATTTTCAGTTAATTACAAAAATAATTATTTAAGAGTAGCAAAGACTCTGAGAAAATAGTCGAGGTAAGACGTGTCGCAGACACGACTTTAATAAAAGGGCAAAATGGGATATTCCATGAATTCCCGTCCGGTGACTTGATGGAGTTCGCAACGATTTCAATTTTTTCACAATGTTTTCTCATTTTGTCGGTTAATTCAAACAAAGAAGACATTTTTCAGGGTTTAACGAATGGGTTTGAATGTGAGACTGCGATGTCTGATTAGTTGGAGACTCCAATCAGACTCCAGAAGATTTATTATGGATAATTTGTATCAGATTTGGAGTGGAACGACGATGATGAGTGGAATAAAATACTGAGAGATATAACGATGTGACTCCTCATTTGCAATTAGTAATTGTGCTGTTGGAAAATGATCGTGGGAAATAATTGTAGTTACTTACCTTGTTGTAGGGTTGAGATCGCTGATTTTTCAGGGTGTTGCCTCTGATCGATCTGTCGTTGAAGCGACCTGAGGAGCTGAAGCCCTGTTGGCCGCGGAAATTGGGGCCAGGACCGTTCATGCTGCTGCCAAGGCTCAGTAAGGATGGAACCTGATGGGCAATTATGCAATGCTTATTTTTAAAAGGTTTTCACTGAAATGATTACAAAAAATATGCAAATAAGATTAGTTGGGGTTGTAATCACTCCGAAAAAAACTTGCACACTGGATTTCAATATTTCCAGGATTCTGAAATATTCTCTTCCAAGGGATTTCACGAAGTCATCAGGCATTTTCGACGATTTCAAGAATTTCCAGGCATTTGAAAAAATTTTATGGGGTCAAAAAAATTGAAAAAAAAAAAAAATTTGAAAATTTCAAATTATTTTATAGTATTCCAACGAAATTGAAGCGATTTTAGAAAATTTGAGATGATTTTATAGTATTTCAAAGACATTGAAACGATTTTAGAAAATTTCAAAATATTTTTTAATATTTTAAAGAAATTGAAACAATTTTAGAAATTTTCAAATGATTTCAATGGTTTACAAAGACACTCTGAGTAATTCCATATAATTTCAAGCGATTGGAGTGGAATTTCAAACGATTTTAGAAAATTTCACAACATTTTTCAATATTTTAAAGAAATTGAAACAATTTTAGAAATTTTCAAATGATTTCAATGGTTTACAAAGACACTCTGAGTAATTCCATATAATTTCAAGCGATTGGAGTGGAATTTCAAGCTTTTGAACAGTTCGCATATCTTTCCCTCTGCATATTGCGATAAGTCCCAAATGAGATTTCTGGAGGAATTTTGTTGAGAATTCGAAAAACAAATTCCACGGAATCGAATTCCTTCCTGAATCCACGATGTCATGAAATACCATCGTATTTCAGATATTTCGAAGGATTTAATTTCATGTATCATGCGAATTCAATATCAATATCATATGTACACCAGACTTCCGGAGTGATTGCCCCCTCGATCCAATTAACTTTTAGAGATTTTCAATATCTATAAAACAAACGATACAATTTGGATGGAATCATCATTATATCTCTTTACACGGTTGAGGGGGAGCCATGGTGAATCTTGAAAGTCTTTGGTTGGTGGAAAAAATCATCGAGCAATATCTGATACATGATAACAAGCATAAAAAGTGGGAACACCAATGCGCATCATCTCTAATTACGGAAAGTTTGTCACGTTACTGGTCATTTCAATGCAAAAATTCACACACGGGCGATTCATTGCTGCATTATTCGTTATCGCTTCATATTCTTAAATTTCATATCGTATTACTGTCCCATCGAATTTCGATGCATTTATGAAGGTATTATTTTCTTATTATGGAACAGAGTGACACAAAATGCGAATATGGCGGGGCGTAAGAATGCAAAGAAAATTATGAAGAACAATCCAGTTTGAAACTTCAACTTCTTGAATTTGTCCACGTAATTTCAAATAGTTGTGAACAACCGTTTGCAAGATACTCCGATAGTCATTTTCGCCATTTAATTTGGACTCTTAGGAGGAAGTATGATTTTTCCACAAAAAGCAGAGAAGAGCTGCATGAATGTTTCGAATTCAAAAAATATTCTGTGAAAATTTTTGAATTAATTACAAATTGTTATTAGCAGATTGTCATTTTTTGTTGTGATAGTAATGATTGTAATGCCCTTGAGGTCCTCTCAAAAATTGTGCAAACTATATCTCAAGATAGTGAGCTTTAATTTTTGGAGCAAAAATGAAAAGTTAAGGACAAAAAAGGCAATATCTGCTGGCCAAAAACTGCCAAATTCAATGCACTTGCTCTGAATTCAAGCTGACAGGAGAGCCTCGAAAATTGCATAAAGATTGTTAGATTCACTATCGACATCGAGTTATAGGGCATTAAAATTTGAAGGCCATCTGCACTGAGAAAAAAGTTTTCAAATAATTCCGTGTTCACTTGTACCAAAAAACTCATGGCTCGAAAATTGACAAGAAGAAGATATCTTATACTGAGAAAGAAAAAACTTTCGTCAAAAGATTTTATATGTGTCCCAAAGACAAGAATAAATTGTTTATTACAAGAACAGGATTTCTCAAACCAAGTCTAGTTGAATCAATTTCTAGTTTTTAAGTCTCAACTAAAAACCATTTTAATACAAAAATCATTTGATTTGGTTCGAGAAGTCGTTTTCTTGTTGCGAACAAATTGCCCTCAGCTTTCAGACAACTGCAAAATCTCTGGATAAAAGGTTTCTTTTCCGCGTGAGAGATTCTCTTCTTGATACAAGTAAGGACTCTCGAAATTTTTTTTTTCAGTGCATGAGCAAGTCCTCTGTAAAAATCATCCCAAGTAATCGTTAATGCATTACCGGTGGCGAAGAGTCCTGCTGAGTCCTCAGCAAATTACTCAAAAGGTTACTGGCAATAACCAGCTGAGCCTGAGGTGAATTCAGCGATAAATTGTTGTTCGGCGTGGGTAGAATGCCCCGTCCCGGTGGCATCACTCCACTCTCCCATGGGCTGACTCCACGATTACCAGTACTGCCACCCCCGGAGCCCCCCATGCCACCGCCAATGCCCACATTACCGCCTCCACTCCCTCGGTTAAACGGCCCTCGATTGTTGCCGAAGGAATTTCTTTTGATGCCACGATTAAACGACATTGTTGCTTCCTGAAAAAAAAACATGAACAACTATTATTCATTTTCCACTCAATCGATACTCCCACCCACGTCAGTAAATCTGCTCCAATCCCACTCTAATTTTAACTGCTCATAAATCTCCTCGCAAAAATCAACTGCCACAACCGCTGGCCCAATTCCCCCCGAATTAATTCAATAAACAAATGATCTTCTCAAACCGTCGAATAACGCGTCGACGATTCCATAAAAAATCAGCAACTACCGGTCCCATGCACCCGTTCCCTTCGCCCCAAGAAACCCTTAAATACCGAAACACTCACCAAAAATCCGAATATTCACGTTTCCAAACAGCAATCAACAATTGAACAAGAAATTCAATGAAAATTCACACCAAATGCTCGAGAGAATACTGAGTAAAATGAGCGTCACGCTCAGAGGAAGCGCCGAACTGCAATGGATGCGAATGGATGCGAACTGCGAAGCACGGCGAAGTCGTAGAACCCGATGGAACCTCAAGGTGGGACTGTATAAAATGGCCGTTGCACCGCCATATTGTGCTGGCGGAAATCGTCCGGGGGGTGGGGATGAATAGGAAACTTCATTACCGATATCCCCTTACGGCGCTGCGGGCGCTACATATTTGAATATCGAATGTGTCACACATTCACACGCGCTCTATCTCTCTCGCCTCATCTCTGGCGGGATCAATAGGGCCTCTCTTCCAGTCCTTTCCCCTAAAAAACACTACCCCTCGTGCGCAAACGTCAAAATCGAACAAATAGAGTCCAGCCTGTGCAGTCTCACGGACGTCGTTCCAACGTCGCGACCGGACGTCATAATAAAGAAATCGAGGAAAAAGAATAATAATACGGGAGTATAATTGAAGATGTTTTGTTTCTCTTCCATTGTTGTCAATTGGAATTTCATTATCCGATTTAATCCGCTGTCGGGGCTTTAAATAGTCGTCCAGTGATATTAGGTTTTATGTTAATTAGTGGATAAATTTGTTGACCGATGATTATTAAATCACGGGTGAGGTACACTCTGAGGGAAGTGAGGCGGCGAGACAGGCCGCCCTTTTAAATTCCCGTGAGTAATGAGCATGACGCTTGAGGATCCATTCTTTGTCGTCAAAGAGTAAGTTGTCATTATGATTTCACTCATTCCGTACCTGATGATCGGTTGTCAAGTGGTGAGACCGGATAAGTCAACTGCACTCAGAGATCAGTTGTTGGAAAGTGTCTCGGAAGTTTTGAGAGATGACGAAATTTCGGGAAGAAGAGTACGCTTTAGTTTGGAGGGATGTGTCACTAATTTTTGAGGACCGGCGGCTGTGAAATCGACATCTAATAAAACAAGGGTATTTCAATTTTCTTTTTAAAACGAGGGTATCTCAAAATTCATGTGGAAGCTTATGTTGTTCACAGTCATTTCTGAGTCTCATAGAGCTCGCGATTCAGTTTATTTCTCTTCCGATGTGAACTACTTCATGTTATTTGTACTTTTTGATGCATTCATCCCAGCTAACAATTTACCGGTCGATTTCCGGATATTTACCGGTCTTAGTGGGGACTTTTAGATGGCATCCGTTAAAATTGTTCTCTGGAATACTATTTATACAGCTGTGAAGAGAAGGAAAATGGGAGATTTCAGACGATTTTTCATATGAATTTTGAGATATTCTTGTTTTCAAAATAAAATTGAAATACCCCGGTTTTATTAGGAAACGTCGAAATATGAGGAGTGAGGAAATTCTAGAATCCAACGTTTTTTCACTAGTTTTTGGCAATAATCCTGAAAATCAGAAGGGAATATTCTGATTTTTTACGAGTATTTACATTGAAATTTAAGGAATTTTTCACTATAATTCAACAGCATTTTCGTTTATTCCAAAACTGATAGAAAAATTTAATTTTATCAAGTGAATGTTATTTGAACCAACTATTATTGGGTTGTTAATTTTCAAATAAACATGATTTCATAGTAAATCCCAATTATCTCTTCTTAAGATACATTTGACTGGGAGAAATCGAACTTCTCTAGAATTGAAGTTCCTTTGTCGCAGTAATGAGAGTATTTGATGTCTTTCCAGCCAAAAGTTTGCTAACTCCAGAAATTCGCTGGTTTACACAAGATTAAAATTATTCTCATGACTAAATACGTTATCTCAATCAACACGATCCTACGTTGTTCCAAGTAAATTATAATTGAAGTGAGCATTTCGTGTGTCGAATCAGGATAAATATTGTTACGCGGAAAAAGCTTTGAGATTGTAGTAAGATGTCGTTGAGTTGAAAGAAGTTGATATTTCTTGACTAAAAAAATCGCATCAGTTGACAGTAACAGAATCACAGATTACGGCAATTCAACGCAAACTTGGATATCAAAAATTTCGTTCAATGTGATGTGCGGAAAGCTCAATTTAAACATCGGCTTCATTCGAGAAAACAACATTCAATTCATTCCTCTATGTAATCATCTCCTAGGTACGAATTTTTGATCAATTCATGAAAGTAGAAAATTTCTCGACTGGAGATTTTATAAGTTTAAAAAATAATAGAACTTTTCCATTTTTGTAGTGAATGTATGTGACTTGACGCCAAGGACTGTTTTATGTGATTCAAGTAAATGTATCTCAAGAAGAAATAATTGATATTCATCGTAAGATCTTATTTATTTGAAATTGGTTCAAATATATAATACTTGTTCCAAGAAAGAAACATCTCAATAAAAATAATTTTTGTTATCAGTGAAGATTCGGAAATTATTTCGTTTGAAATTGAAAAATTGGGAATTCCATTTAAAAGAGGTAAATACTAAAAATGATGATCAAAGTTGTTTCTTATACATGAGCTCTTGTGACGGTTGTGGTCAACGCATTCTATGTCATCATTTCCAATCATTAACCACTTGAAAAGAGAATATAGAAGAGTTGGAAATAAATCACATAATCTCCCGCGCAGTATGAAGTACTTTATCAATTTGTAAACAATATCATGATTTTTTCCAGTGAAAAAGAAATCATCGGATCTTTCAGTTATCTAGAACACCCGTCACTAAGATTCAGTGACATTTCGATCCCAAATCTAAGACATTTTAGCTCGGTATTTCAGTGATAAAAATTGCAAATACTGAGGGTGATCTTAATTAGTGTCAAGTATTCCCAAAAATGATGGATACATCCCTAAAAATTAGTGATAAATAGTTTAAAAAAAAATTATTTCTCTGTTTTGAAAACATTTTCTGTGGAGCAAAGGGAGACGCACTAAAGACGTCCCTCTAAAATTTCCGCTATCTCCTCTGAATTGAGCGATATTCATAAAAAACTTGGCAAAGTTGACATATCTAGTTTTACAACTTCCTCCCTGCAAATTAGAGTCAGTGCTTTCCACATGTTCCCTCGATTTTGTACTTGTACCAAAGACGAGGATATTTTTTTCATGACAAGAAAAGGATTTCTCAAACCAAATCTATTTGAATCAATTTATCCAACATTTTTTAAGCCTCAACTACAAAATATTTTAATGCAAAAATCACTTGACTTGACAAACGACTCGAGGAGTCGTTTTCTTGTTGTGAACAAATTGCCCCTCATCTTTCGGATAAGTGCAAAATCTCTGGATGAAAGGTTTCTTTTGCCAGTGTGAGATATTCTCTTTTCAATCTCAATCGAGTATCAAATATTTCAAAAAATTATGGATACATCCCCAAAAATTAGCAATAATTGGTTAAAAACTTTTTTATTTTCATTTCTCTGTTTTCAAAACATTTTCTGCGGAGCAAAGGGCATTGTCTGTGTACTAAAGGCGTCCCTGTGAAATTTCTGCTATCTCCTCTGAATTGAGAGATATTCATAAAAACCTTGCCAAAGTTGACATATCCAGTTTTACAACTTCCTCACTGCAAATTAGAGTCAGTGCTTTCCACATGTTCCCTCGATTCCCCGCACAAAGAGTGCTATTTTCGGAGCACAGTATGTTTCCCCCCTTTTATTTATGTTTTTCGATGGTTTTCGTATTGACAGCGAGGTATGCAAAGCGCTGAACAAGACACGAGGTTTGTACGGCCGGTGGAGTGATTCCCAGGTGAATATATCAGCATTAACACCGATCGGATTGGTACCCGGTGGGCTTCCGGTGTCGAAAGAGGAACTCGAGTGGACCACTACCGAGCTGAGGAACGCATTACGATCAATCGAATGGGACCTCGAGGACTTGGAAGACACGATTTATATCCTTTTCATATTTATTCCACATTGATCGTCACGAGAATATTGACCCTTACGGTTTATTAATAACCGACGGCTTATTGAATTAGGTATGGAATGTTTTCCTTAATTCTACCACACGTATTGTAGAGAAGAATCCAACAAAGTTTAAAATCGACAACAAAGAACTTACTTATCGCAGAGCGTTCATTGATCACACTCGCGACGAGGTCAAGGTAATTTTTTTCCCCCATATCCATAATTCATCGTTTCCTTAAGGGGAGACGGCGGAAAAATTTGAAGCTCCCTGGATTTCGTAGCTATGAGTCAGAGCGTTCTTGGCACTCATTAGGAAGCTCGGAAAGAAAAAAAGCACACTCCGGAAAGTTTGAGGGTACACTGTTAAAAAATTTTTGCTGAAATTTTTAGTACATTTTTCGAAAATTTTTATCACATTTAAGTTTCACTGAAATTTCAAGGACTTTTGTCATTGAAAATTCTAAATTTCAGGAAAAAATCAATGAGTCTTTTAAATTTAAGGTCAATTATACTCTGAAAATTAATAGAAAACCGCAAAAGTGCGATAATTATAGGGCAGACTGGAGCAAAATGAAACAGTTAAAAAATGATTGCTTGACGCAATTCAAGCAAAAAAAAATTTGTTTATTAAATTTTTTTCATCAACTTCTTTTATTCTTGCGAGTGATGAGAATAATAATAATTTTCCATTCAGTAGAATGGAAAATTATTGAGAAGTTTTGACGGGAGAAGATTTTGTCAATGGATTACTTGAAAAGAAAATGAAACAGCTAAAGCCAAAGTCCAGAGCAAGGTCCAGGGGAGACTCAGATGGGGAAAAAGGAAAATGTGATGCTTAATTTCAATCGAATGAAAAAAGAAAAGTCTAATCGGCCTAATATAATCAATTGAATTATAATAGAACGAATAGAAAATTATTATGCTCATCAGTACTCCCAAAAATAAAAGAAGTTGATAAATAAAATTTAATAAAAAAAATTATTTTTGCTTGAATTGCGTTGAATAATTGTTTTTCGTCTGTTTCATTTTGCCCCACTCTCCCCTATTCTTGAATTTTCAATTATTGGAAAATTCTACATAATTTGGCTCTGAATATTGATATTTTCATTGAAAATTCAACAAAATTGAAGAATTTTCATCGTCGTGCTTCTCAAAATTTTGGAATTTTATTGAATTTTCAGTGAAATTTGAAATTTTATTTTTTTGTAACAGTGTACGAAAAGGGCCAAAACCTCAAGGATGTTTATTTATTATCCGAAAATCTAATTTTCAGTGAAAATCTAATTTGTGT